AGATGGAAAGTGAGACAGGCCTTGGAGAGAGCCAAGCTGCCCAGGTCTAACATAACAAAACTGGAGAGACTGGCGATTGAATCACTACAGAGGAATGAGAACATCATCATACTACCGGCTGACAAAGGTAATGCGACTGTAGTGATGGACAAACCGGACTACACAAGAAAACTGGAAGACCTCATTAGCAATGGTAGCTACAGCATAGTGAAGAAAGATCCTACTATGAAAACGGAACGCAAACTGTCACAGATCCTAATCAAGAACAAGGATCACTTCGCACCCAAGACGTATAGGCAGTTATCGCAGCGTTACAGCAAGTTACCCTCACATATACGGTCTCCCTAAGATTCACAAAGACGGTATTCCACTCAGGCCGATTGTTGTTGCCAAGGCTCTGTGTGCCACCCTCTGAGTCGCTTCCTTGTAGATATAATTGACCCATTGATCGGAAAGTCTCCTTCATATGTCCGAAACTCCGCCCACTTCGTGAAAATAATCAAAGATGCTCCCATTCTATCCAACCAGATGGTGAGCTTGGACGTGGTGAGTCTGTTCACCAAGGTACCCACGGAGGAGGCACTCTCAGTAGTCAGAGATAGATTAACCTCTGACTCTTCCCTAGAGGAGCGGACCAGTATTCCAATAGATAATCTGATGGAGATGTTGACTTTCTGTACACAAACAACACACTTCGGAATGGGATCTCACATATATCGACAGGATGAGGGCTTAGCAATGGGCTCGCCATTATCACCAGCAATGGCGAATATATACATGGAATACTTTTGAAGAAATGGCATTAGAGTCTATATCGCTAAAGCCAACTATATGGTTACGGTACGTAGATGACACTTTCATACTCTGGCCACATCAGGAAGAAGTCCAGGTTCTTCTGGACCATGTGAACTCAATAAGACCTTCGATACAGTTCACAATGGAGAAAGAGAGTAACAACTCACTCCCATTCCTGGATGTACTAATATCTCGAACAGAGAATGGGTTCAAGACATCCGTATACCGTAAACCAACATTCACCGGACAGTACCTCAATTTCAACTCCCACCATCCATACAGCGTAAAGAAAGGGATCGTCCGATGCTTACAACATCGAGCAAAAGTCATAAGTGGCGATCCAGAGACGTTAGATAAGGAATTGGTCAGTATAAGTAGTACAACGCAACAACTACACTGGGTACATGGCAGCAGCCCCCAAAATCTGGGATAGGCGGGTACAAGAGGAGGAGGAGGACAACAACACTCAGAAAACAGTCTGCCTGCCTTATGTGAAGGGGTTATCAGAGAAAATACAAAAGATCTGCGGTCCATATAACATCAGGACAACCTTCAAAAGCGTGACAACACTTCGCAGGTATCTCTCACGAGTGAGACCCCCCATAGAGAGGAACATGACTAAAGACTGTGTGTACGCTATCCCATGCAGCTGCGGAAAGGAATATAAAGGAGAGACAGGCCGCCCCTCAAGGTAAGGCTACAAGAACACCAGAAAGCTGTAACGCGAGGGGAAGTAGAAAAATCAGGCGTGGCTGACCACATATGGATAGAGAAGGGAGATCACCGCCCCTGTGGGATCATGTTGAGATCATAGACAGGGAACACCATTGGAAAATTCGTAAACTTAAGGAATCAGCACATATGCTAGGCCCAAAAAATCTCCTGAGCCGACCAAGCATAGAAATAAATACAATATGGGAACCAGTAATAAGGAGTGCCAGAGAAAAGCAATGATAACAAAGTTGCAATATGAACTCTGGTAAAGACATGCAATGATAACAGCAAAAATTGCAATATGAGCACTGGTAAAAATGATGCTGAAAACATTGGGTTTATAATACTCAGAAGTTCATACCCAGATGTCCTCAAGGACACATGGCACAGTGGATAAAGGCGTTGGTTAGATCCAGTGACAGACCCAAAGAAGGTGAGTTCAATTCCTGGTTAAGGCAGTGGAGAACTTTCAGAGGGAAAACATGGCACGTGGAATTAGAACAGTCTACCCCAGCGATCGAAATAAAGGGTTCAGTTCGAAATTCCAACCACCTGAAGAAGGCCGGAGCGTACAACGGCCGAAACGTTGTGACAAATATGGCGACAAAGATGAGGACAATAGTCCGACTAATGTAAATAATATACATATATATGTATGTATATATATATATATATATGACTGTAATCTTTACCTTAAAAAATGACAATTTCGCTTAAGTATATTCGAAACTTGTGAGTTTTTAAGCAAGCATTAAGGAAATGCCAACTTTAAGCAAAATGGTCAGAATAAAATGAAAAAAGAAAAGTGACTGTTTTAACTGACACTAGGAGGATACGGCTGAATTTTAAAATTGGAAATTCTGATAAACATTATTATTTAAATTCTTAATTCCATCTTGTCCTATTGAAATACAATATTTTATAGCCCTATATAATCGGTTTATAACTTGAATTTTTTTAACAACTCACTTGAATAAGTTTCATATAACATGAGAAAATATCAGGATGAAAATCTTATATTTTATTTTAAAATGCCGTACTCCCTTTTGTAAGCGTTTTTAATGTGTTTAATGTTTCGTGTTCTATATAAATAAAAGCCAATGTCAGTGTGTCACACTTTTTCAACTTCACTCCGCTCGGCCGAAGGCGAACATATCATACCATTTTGGAATCGGCTCGACTCCGTGAAGAAATTAAAAACAATCCCGTCCAGATCCGGACCCACAATCCTGAAATTTCGTATTCCCAACTTTTCAATACTACGATTGTTTTCGGCGAAATTTTTACGTGAATTTATGAGACGAGTTTTTCGTACGATAAGAATTTTTATAACTTGGAAATAAATTTGGGAATAATCGATATCAATTGCGAAATCCACCTCAAGTCACCCGTGAAATAAAAATAATTGTTTGTACGGAAAGTAAGGAGCTACGTACATCAAGCTCTCTTCAAAGTGGCGGAAAACGAATTATCGTAGAACTTTAAAAAGATAAGCTTAAATATTAATGCAATACTTAAATGCACCGATCAATTTTGAGTACTGTACTTTACGACAGCATTATTCTTCAGAAAAAGAAATCTCCGCCAACGAAGGACCAGATTGCAATGAAAAGAGCCAAGGCTGCAGCGAAACAAAGAAAAACCCGTCCATATGAAAACACAGAACAAACGACAACCAGAAGAGCTTCCAGTGTCGAGAATATGCAAACAATTAGGGACTATCTAACTCTTGAACAAGTCGCAATTCCAGTCAAGAGCTTTCCGCAGGAGGTTCCTTAAATCCTGCCCGATGGGACAGCTTTTAAGATATTTTTAATAATTCTTTACAATTACCGTATATACTCGTGTACAGTACGAGTTTACTATGATCAGTTCTTTTTTTATTTAAAAATTAGGGGTTCGCACTATACACAAGTAATCTATTTGAAGAGTTTAAAGTCATAACTTTCGCTGAACTGTTGAATTATACACAGGTAGTTTTTTTATCTGTCTGTGTTGAAATTTATGCCAAAATGTCTGTGTTCGACTATATATAAGGTCATACTAAGCACGTGTATATATGGTATTACAAAATACATTATATTATAGAGAGATTGACGATAAAATTATGCTGCATGTGTGTGTAATCTGCTCACGAATATCCTGTAGTTAGTATATGTGTGTATATCTGCATAAGAAACAGAGCAGAGAAAGAGAGAGAGAGAGAGAGAGAGAGAGAGAGAGAGATTATTATAAGTCTTAGATATCTAATCTGCCAAAGGGCACGGGATGACATATACAGTTTTTCCATGACATATTTTATTCTCATTTTTCAGTTGCAGTGTTTTATTAGTAGAGATAGCAAAAAGGCAAGTTTTACAAAGGGATACAATGTACAGGAAAATGAGGAGAGCCATAACAATCCATTAAGTGAAGGGACACGGCAAAGAAGAAAAGGAAGAGGTTAAGTGTTATTTTAAATTATAAATTTAGATGCTAATTGTTAAATAATGAATGAGTAATCTTGCATACGCATTACAATCCTCAGGTGATATGTAGCAGCTAATTATTCATTTACTGGTTTTATCATCGTTTTTCCTGATGAAGTTACGTCTATCTACAATAGAATTAATTGATCATATTTTATTTGTATATTTATCAGGATTGCCATTTGTGTTATGTTTTATTAAATTTGAAAGTTAATTTTATTTGCTCACCATCATAAAGAGAAACAATATTTTATATCATTTCAAAATAATTTGTCAAGAAGAAATTATTATTTATACTATTTACATGCTCGATAGTTTCTTCATTTTTACTGTCGTTATTGCAACGTTTCGGCCTTCATCAGATATATGTTGATCGGGTTAATTAATGGGAATTCTGAACTGAACACTTTATTTAGTCTACGTGGGTAGGTTATTCTCGTTCCATTGTCCATGCCTCGCGATATCTCGTTTAGCTCTTATTTTTAGTACTACTCAGTTATTGATCGCTCTGTTTTCACTGGGGATTACTGCCACATCACAGCAGTTAAGCAACGCCAAGACTGGTCTGTACCTAGATGGTTGATGGCTTGAGAATACTAGGTGTTGTCTGCTCGGATATGCAATTTGTGTAATAGATAATGACTCGGAATTTTAAATCGGGAATTTTTAGTTCTTGCTAGTTTCCTTGTATTCACTTACGCCCAAATAACCTTAGAAAAAATATGAATCCACATAGTCTCCCTCCAGCTATTGGTTAATAATAAGACGTGTTTCACTAAACCGTTATTAGCTCGAAAAATCTTACAATCTAAATATATTTTCTGGCGTTAAATAACCTGCAACGTTTCGACCATCATCAGATATATGTCCAATGGGATAACCTCGGGAGAATTCTGAATAAAGCCCTTTATTTAATCTACAGGAGAGAGATTATTCTCGTCCCACTACCCATGTCTAGCGATATCACGTCTAGTTCTTATTATAGTACTGCTCAGGTATTGCACGTGCTGTTTCCACTGGAGCTTACGGCCACATCATGTTGCAACACCAGTTCCCGTACGATCACCTAAGTTAAGAAACGTCGAGCCTGATCAGGGCCAAGAAGGGTGACCACTTGTGAATAGCAGGTGCTTTAATCTTGGACGCGCGGGATGTGTAACGCGTAACCACTTGAAATAAATTATTGTAAAGCGATCTTCCAATGCTAATCAGTTTGATTATATTGACTTAGTCACAAATGCCATTAGAAAAGGTATGAATTCATCTCTTCTCTCCCCTACTATGGGTTAATTAGTATGACTTTTATCAGTAAATCATTATTATCTCCAAAATACTTTCTGGACTTAAATAAACAACAAAACGCTGATAACTTCTAAGAACCAACCAAACAAATAATTAATCAAAGACGTGGATACATACATATAGATATATCTGTACGAAGGCGTGATCAACAATTTTAATTCAAATTCCAATTCACAAGGAAACAGGCAAAAAAAAAAATGTTTTTTTTTATATCATCTGGTCAGATTTAGAGTAGGGAACAATGTAGAAAAATTCTTAGACTTTCTTTCTCGTATGATCGAACCAACATCTGGCACCATATCGACTTTGTTAAAAACATATTGAAACACAGACCTATCATTGCTGTCTATCAAAAACAGTGAAGAAAAAAAAATGTTCTGCATATACGAAAATATGGTAATTAAAACAGTTAACTCTATATGTGTAATTTTCCGTTCTTTTATTGGCTTTCAACTGTCGCTTTGAACTAAAAAAGGATCTACCGCCATAAAATTTCTCGCTTTCCCGATAAGCGATTCCACCTGCTCAGTTATAAACACCCATTATTATTTAAGAGGGAGGAAAGAAATGTGGATTTCAATTTGCATTTTTCTTCTCTTGTTTTATTTTATTTTTTACACTGCTTTGTGTTCGCTTCTCGACTCATGAGTGTTGAAAATGGTAATCACTAAAGATCAGTAGTCACAAAAAAAAAACGACACATTATTATATTTCGCTCTCGTAATATGGAACGCAGACTAATCTTTGAAGTTGAAGCCTCCAGAATTATGAATTTTACTCGCACTAGATTTTCTTTTTGCAATGTGTCACATGACAATTGCGTCAAGGTGAGTCTCGTGTTTCCCCTGCCAGCCAAGATAGATATAGATTTTCTTCAATCTTCCGACATCCTGCTTTAGACTGGCATGTTATGAAAATAACATTGTACAACGATACGCGCTTTCTGTTTTTTCTTCTAGTTCCATTTTAATATATTTCTTTCGACGTGTTTGATTGTGGAAATTAAAGGTTGTTTTCCCTGTGCATATTACTATAATAGCCTGATGCAAAACTTCCCAGCGATGCTATCTTACGTAACATATACTCGGCCCGGTGGCTAGGATCAAAGTGTAGTATCTGCGCTTTGTGAGCTGGCGGGTCGGGTGTCTGTCGAACTCTCTGCTTGCAGAGGGGAACCCGGACGAAGCTCTGCCGAAGGGTAGGGTTTCGTTCGGGGAGGTTGACGGAACTAGCCCGCTTGGACGGGTTTAGATGGGTTTTATTTTTGGCTGGGCTTACGGGCTCAGACATACCCACATTAAAAAGGCCTTGTGCCACATTCGGTCCCCGTGGGTGGATTGATAAATACCATCTTACGTAACATATAATTGAAATCATTAAAAATTAAAAAAATGTTTAGTGTGTTTTTTTTTTATTTTATTTTTTATTTCGTGCAAGGAAGATCGAAAACATGGCTATTAGAATGGAGAATAGGCAAAGGTGCAAGTCACCAATTGCAGACTACAAAGCAAACTAAACTATCTCGGATGTTTTATTCATAACAAAACGACGGAAAAAAGTGAGACAGAAAACCGAAACACCTTTTAAATATAGAAAAAGGCCTCACAAAATGTTTAAAAACTTAGAAAAAAATACGTAATTTTTATTGTAAACTAAAAAACAGCGGCCATTATTTTTATTAAATATCCAGTATCTATTATCACAGTGAATACGATACAATTTTCTTACAGATGAAGAGGAGACTTAAGGCTACAGGAATACTGATCTACAGAAGGATACTGAGATAAATATAGATGGGACATAAGATGTTTAAAGTAAATTGGGAAATTTAAGGACTGCTTTTCCAAGGATCAAAAAACTTGAAGATATTTTGAAGGCAATAAGAAAAGAGGAATCCGGTGAAATACACGGCTAACGCGCATGCGTAAATAAATGGCAGCACATCAACAGGGAGCAATAGTAAGGCGATTTTTTGTAATGCCCGTTTGTAGAAGACACTTTGTAAATCACTGATATAATAATAGTAACACCTTCGAACAATACTAGGTCAGACGCCGATAATTCCCATATACAGTGGTACCTTGGTTCACGAATTTAATTCGTTCTTAAATGTTGTTCGTAACCCGAAATGTTCTAAATCGAAACATTTTTTTCTAATAGGAATTGAAGAGAAAATAAAATCACAGTACAATAAAATTGGAAAAGAAAAGCACGGCAGAACACACGAATGAATATAACACAGTGGTCGAGTCAGAAATGATTCCGTTCGGGTTAACTCGGTCCGGCTCGGTTCAGCTCGATCCGGCAATGTTGTTCGAAAACCGAAATTTTGTTTGATAACCGAGGAATTTTCATCTCGAATTTTCTGTCCGAAAACCGATTTATTCGACATGTGACACGTTCGAGAACCGAGGTTGTTCTGTATATATATTTTTCTTTAACCGTCACGTTATCTAATTATTTAAAGATGAGGTCGACTGTTCTTGCCCTCTGGCGATCCGTGTTCAAGCCCAAGTGTCGGCAGCGGCACTTTATTCCTTCCTATATGATAGTGACAAACATTGCTTAATAATACAATGGGAAGGAAATCGTGGAAAGCCATGATCGCCCACGTCCTGAAAGAGTTCTGCAAATAAAAGAAAAATAAATTCGTGCAATCAGTTTTCTAAAAATTCAAATATGACACATACTTGTATGTGTGCTAATTCCAGATAAAATTCAAGGGAATGAAATGTTTAATTACATGATATTTGGTCAGTAGGTGCAAGCATATATTGCAGGTTTTTTGAGAAATTTAAGAAGCGAGATCTTGAGTTTAATGATAATTATTGATCAATTCATTATTTTTTACGACCTACCAACCCTTTGAAGATTAATTAAAGCCTGAAAATATTTTAGATTGTATGAATATTTTTTGGAATATAATAAAGATTCAGTGATTCAAATCTTACGAATTAAGCTATAGCTGGAGGCGAAGAGAAGAATCCAAACGTTCCCTAAGGTTATTTGCACGTAAGTGAATATATCGAACCCAAGCAAAATTAGAATCCGAATAATTATTCTTAGTCATCCATTACACCAAAGGAGACTTACAGCTTCTGGTATCCCCAAGCAGTTGCCCAACCAGCTACTGACTGTTAATAATAATTTAACGAACTGTTATTTTTAGGGGAAGTGTATCTCGGCTCCGACATCCGGAGGTTGACAGGCGGGGTCAGACGTCAGCTCTAAAAGGGAAATCGATTTTGATTTTGATTCGTTGAGCTAGCGTTGGAAAGAGGTAGTAGAAAATATCCAGCGAGTTGTTTCTTATCCTTCAAGCGATGTAGACGTGTTCTTTTTCGTGTCCGAAACGTCTCCTCAGTGAGTGTGTGGGGGGGGCGACTCTCCCACTGGATAGTTAGATAATGTACATGTCGAAATGATTAGTAAAAATAGTTAAGTCCACATTCTCTGTGTTTAGAGTTCTTCATTGCTGAACCAAAATGATTAGTTATAGTCGGTCGAGATGAGATTACCAACACCCAGGTGCTATCCGACACTGACCAAGCTTGACGTTGTTTAACATCTGCGATCGTACGGGAACCGGCGTTTCTCACGTGATATGGCCGTAAACAACTTAACGGGTAAGGCATGCTCTGAAAGATCTCAGGAAAAGGTCGATGTATTGAAAGTAGTTTTGATCGAAGATGCAGCAAAAGAGAAAGGTAAACTCGAATCGATGGTTTGATGTTAATTACGAAATGGAAGAAGACGACGACATCTACTGGTGAAAATAAAAGTAACAATAATTGTGTTGCTCATATTGACTGTACTTAAACTGTACCCCGAGGTAACAAATTATCATTAACCCAAGATAATATTTTCCTCCACAGGCGGCCTATTTTCTAGACATATTCATTGAGATTATTACTTAATACATACGACATCGGACAATTCTTAGTTAATAAAGCTGGCTAACTCTCAGGATCCATGATCACTAAAAGTTTGAAGAGACCTGGCATTATAAACATTTCCAGAATTGTACTACCTCGCTCTCTGTAAAGGCTGCAAGGATAAATTTCCTCACTTCTTGACTAATTTAATTTACTTATTGATATACAGAGTGGTCCGAAAGTCTTGCCTTCAACTGATTGGTATTCTAGGATTGTTCGGCAGTATCTGTTTGATAATACCCCACGGAGCATTGAAATAGAACATTTTATTATGTAAAGGTGACGAAACTTTCGGAGCACTCTGTAAAATAACCAATGTACAATTTTCATATAAAAATTTCGTTACTGCATGAGACAATAGCTTAGTGGGCTAAAGCATCCTTTCGTTAATTTAATGACATAGTAATTGTGAGTTCAATCCCTAGGATGGGCAGTGTGTACTTGGACATAGTGGAAACAATTAATTTATCTGGGTACTTAATACTTGAAAGGTAACCAGTATAGAATTGATTTAACTTTAGATTCTTTGGCTTATTAACATTTTGCAGGTTATTTAACGCGAGAAAATAAATTTGGATTGTAAGATTTTTTTTTTAGATAATAATGGTTTAAAGAAATAAGACTTCCTAATTAACCAATAGCTGGAGGGAGACTAGGTGGATTCATACTTGTCTAAGGTTATTTGGACGTAAGTGAATACAAGGAAACCAGCGGGAACTTGAACTCGATTCTCCGATTAAAATTTCCGAGGCATTATCAATTACACTACCCGAACAGCCAAGCTTACAGCATCTGGTATACTCAATCGGTCAGCCATCTAGGTACTGACCAGGTTTCACTTTGCTTAACTGCTGTGATGTGATTGTAAGTCCCAGTGTAAAGAGAGCGAGCAATAA